CTTTCCCTATGTCTTCACATGGTAAACCCTAATTCTTAACGCCAAAGGCTTTTTATTGTGCTAGATCAGAGGTCCTCAACACGGTGTCTGTGGGCACCATATTGCCCACTGATACCTTTTCTGATGCCTATCTAGTGTTTCTAGAGAGTGGTCGGAGCTAGGTGGGGCTTTTGTCCAGCAAAACATCTGATAGGCTTTGCAAATTTTTAAAAATGCTTTGGTAGCTGCTGCCACCACAGCACAAGGATCTTCACTGTGTGACTGAAGTTAAGTTTGTGGCAGCCGTGTTGTAACTGAGCCCACCATGCTGTGTCAATATTCCAAAGGCGCCCACAGGCTCAAAAAGGGTGGGGACCCCTGTACTAAAACTCTGCTCCCCTCATCTACACTGCCCCCAACCTCAGTGGCACAATGCTTAAGCTTCTGGGAGAACAGCTGTTTGTTACATTTCTATACCATGTATACCCCCCAGTTCTATACCACATATAGCCCCACCCCCAGCAGTAGGCTGCTCTATTCACACGTCTCCTGTTGCCCCCAGGCTAATATGCAGGAACTAGATATTGTGCTTTTCCTCAAATGGGAACATTAAACAGGCAACACATATTTGGAGTTCCTGTGACAGGATTCAAGGCATTAACTGGGAGAAGCTAGATGGAGCAAGATCTGTCCCCTCAAAAAGACGCATGAAATGTACCTGCAGTGTCTTTCCCAAGCCCATACAGTGGGCAAGAATGCATCCAGAACCTGCTGACTTCTTTGTTTTCCTCACAGATTCACAGCAGCAATCCCACATAAACTGAACACCTAGAAAGAATTGTTTTTAAGAAAAGATCATTAAAGAAAGATCAAATAGACTGCAGATTTTATTTAATTCAGCAGTAATTCAGCAATAAGCAAAAAAAATCCATGCTTTGGACAGTGATAGAACAGCTAAAATATTGCATTAGCTGCCTAACACTACCAGCTCAAATGAAAGTTCCTGAGAAATCCAGAATTTCATGAAACACTTTTTCATTGTGCATTCTTACCATCTACTTGATGTGGCTTCAGTTTTGTAACAATTTTTCTGTGAACTTGTACTATGGGTTCTTTGGTTTCTTCATCTTCATCTAAAACCAACTTTGTTGTAATTGGACATTTCAGTGGTGCATCTGTTAGTTCTATCACCTGGAAAACAAACTTGTGTGAACTCTAAACAGCAAGCAATTCAAGCTGTTACAGAAACAGAAAGGCTACACAGAATTCCAGAAAACACACCATGCCCTTTACTGAACCCAAAATAAGTATTCTAAGGGCCCTGTTGTTCACACTGTACATCAGTGGATACCCCTGAAATCGGAAGCAGTCACTCTGTATTAAAAAGTGATGCTATAAAAACCGTTAAAGTTTTGCATCTGCGGCAGTTGAACTCTGGAAAACTTCAGATTAGAATTAAAAAGCTTTATCAGCTTAAAAAAATTATTTCTGCACACTTGATTCTGACAATAAACCGAATAACCCTTTCATTTTAAAAGAAAGAACCAGGAAGGGAAAGTACTTCTCTTAGCTTTTCTCTCTCACGCTCCCTTTCTGCAATCCGTCGTCTTCTCTCCTCTTCTTCTTTTAATGCATTTTGCGTTTCTGTTCTGAGCTTATCGTCTTTTATAATCTTCCGTATTTTTTTCCTGCCTTTCCCAGGAGACTTTGAATCATCATCATCATCATCCTCCTCATCATTATCTTCATCCTCAGAATTACTCTATTGAAATCCAAAGAAAACATTGGAGAGACCAATTGCCTTTTTGTATTCGTAAAGAGGACTTCAATTAAAGTAAAGTAAACAAAGTGTTCTAATACCAAGAAAACAAATACAGAGGGGCCCAGGGCTTGTGAGCGCATGACTGCACAGCTAGTTTACTGCTGCAATGTACATACATAATGCTTGGGACACTGCCCCAGACTCCGAAGCCAGGATCCAAAGAGACACACCCAAGGGCTTCCCCATCCTAATAACTTTCAGTGCTTTCTTCTTCTGGCAGCAGCCCAGTCTCCCTCCAATCTCAATAATGGTCACCATGCCATTTTGACCAAAACAAAAAAGGGAGCAAAAATTGTAGCTGCAGAAGGTGCAACACAGAAACAGGAATTCCAATACATTTCAAAAAGATTTTTCCACCAGGAGAATCACCTTTAAAGAGTTCCACAATCATGATTACAATCATTATGATTATTGAAAAGAATCATTACGATTATTGAAAAGAAAGATGGCGGCTGGCATGGAGCTCTAATCAAGAGCTCCCGTGTTTGCTGTGGAATTTGCCCAGATACTAATTTAGATTTAGCAAGCCGAGTGAGCCTGACTTTGTTTGCACTCTGGTAAACCATCCTGCCCCGTATTGATATGCCAACCAACAAATTCCAGTGAGAGGAAATAGCATAATAACATCCTTACTGAGAATCCATCAAGAGGCCTGAGCGCCACTCAGACAGCCGCAGTGTTTCCTGAAACTGCTACTGAGCCTTGGTTGCCCACTGCTGGTTTGGTGCTTCCTACTACCAGGATTGACTGACTGAGACCTGGGGCAGCTGTTGTAACAGGCCAGCAGTCACCCACCATCGCTATCACATCACCAATGCTACCAACTACATACGAGTGGCTGACACTGGAACCGCTTTCAGGGCATCCAGAGAGAAACTTGAGCTACATCAGCTTAGAGTCAAGTGGGGTGGGAGATGAGCCGCCGCCCTGGGAGGCCTTGGTCGGGCTGCGGAATGTGCTTTCTTGGCTTTGAAATTCACTGCGAGCCAAACCTAGTGTTGCCTTCCTTTGCATTTGGGGCCCAGTGGACGCCTCAGTGGATGCATTAGCTGAGGGCCCTAACACGAGGAGTTGGGGGAACCCTTTGAGAATTGCTCTAGTTATCTCTACCGTGACTTGAACAGCCAGCCATAACAGAGATCCACCAACAGGAGGCCGAAGAAAGATCAAAGATGAGGATTACTATTGTGGTCTATTCTAATCAGAGGCGACCTGCAGGAACATCTTAGGCTGGAAAGCTACTTCAAACGCCAAATTAGAGCCTCCATACCTCGCCACAAATCATCCTGACGAAGACCCTGTGAGTAACCTTTCTTCTATCTATAATCATCAAGCTCGGAAAAGGATACTTAATTTCCCCTATAAATCTCTCCCAGAGGCAAAGGAAGGAAAGACTCCCGTGGGCGGCGAGCCAGAGTGCCAGGAATTTTATTGCATCAAACTCAAAGGGGCACAATAACACTTTGAAATCTTCTATCTGCTACCTGGGAAATATTGTTGCAGAGATTTACTTCATGCTTAAAGAACTTTGTTGGAATTATGGAGAGGGAAACAGGCTCTCGTGGAGCTAAAAGGGTGGCGGGCTGTAGTTTCTTTGCCTGCGTAGTTACACAGTGAATGTTGTCTTACTGTGTCTGCTGACGTGCGAAATGGCTTTCTCAGCAGCATTTGAGGAGAGAGATTGCTTGATGGATGGAAATATACTGATGTTCTCAGATGATTACTGGGACTGCTTAAAAAGCCAACTGACGGAAAAAATTACAACTGCTGTCCTGAAAACCTTGGGAGAGTTTTGGGAGGGCTTCGAAGAGGAGATCACAGAGGCACAAAATCAGATGAAGCCAGACACTATACAAGATAGAAAACGACCGGATCTGCTTCAACACTCGATATCTACAAAGAGAGATTTACCCAGCTACTGCTTTGATGGAAATAATGTAGCTGATGCAGGGTTCAAGATACAAGGCTGCTTGTTTTCGTACACAGGCAGGCCAGAAGAGGATGGAACATTTAAAAATCAAAGGCACAAAAGAACAACGATTTTGATGAGACATCTTCAAAGAAAGCAAGAGAAACTTAAACTTTACAAATGTGGAATTAGCACTCTTTGACAGTCTGCATGGTTTTAATTGGCTGAAGGGATAAAGATCTATTAAAACTGGAACTTTTAAGCTGTTGAGAACTGTTTATCTACTGTGTGTTTCTACACCTGATTTACATTATTTGACACCCAATTGATTTATGAATATAACCTGAAGCAAAGTACCTCCAACTTTTGCATTGCCTTGACTAATGAAAGCTATAAAATATGGACTTTTAATTTGAAACAATTTACTCTCTGTACATGTAATGTCCTAATTGAAGGAGGATGAAAAGATATGGGCAGTCTGAATTTTTAGAGAGGAATTGCAGGGAAAATATAATTAATGGGTTACTTATTTAGAGAATGTGTATGGTGTTAACTATTTTGAGAGAGAAGATCAGATGTTACAGGACAAGGTGAAAGTTATATGGCGTTGCCAGTGTAAGAGCTGGATTGTAGAAAAAATGTAACATATTATGTTTAGGCCTGCTAGTTAATGGGATTTTGAAAACTAACAGTGCCTTTTACCATCTTCAACTGGTTTGGCAACTAGTTCCCTCTCTCTCCCTCTGGGACTTGACTAAAGTAATCCAGGAACTCCAGCAGTGTGGGTGCGCATTCAGCCTGTGCTGCGCCAATTGCACTGGCTTCCAAATGAGTACTGGGTCCGGTTCAAGGTATTGGTGCTCACCTTTAAGGCCCTATGCGGCCAGGGACCAGCATATGTGCGGGACCGTCTCTCCCCATATGTGCCCTGTAGAGCTTTACACTCAGCAGAGCAACATCTACTAGTAATCCCCAGCCCAAAAGACGTCTGCTTAGCCTCAACTAGGGCCAGGACTTCTCCGCCCTGGCCCCAACCTGGTGGAACATGCTCCTAATTGAGATTAGGGCTCCGCAGGGCCCATAAAACCAAGCTGTTCTGCCAGGCTTTCGGCTAATTGGTGGGAATCCATTCATTCTGGTCCCTTCACCTCAAACTGCCCTTTAATCACCTTATGGTGCAGATTGCAGTTGTCACCATCAACTTTAATCAGACTGCTATTATATATCTGCCTGGCTAGTCTTCAGTACAAGTGGCACAATGGATTATTATTGGCTCGCTGTCTGTCTTTTAATCTGGACTCTTGCAGCTATGGTTTTAGAATGTTGTTTTATTGTTATGTTTATGTTATGACCCACTCAGAGCCCGATTGCAGGGGAGGGCAGGATATAAATCAAATAAATAAATAGCCTGTCTTCCTCGCTGAGGCAGATGATGACAAACACAAGTCTCAATGATGGATCAAAATATATTCTATCCAATGTATGCTACTTAAACAGCAAGTAAATGCCTGGACTTGTATAAAACCAGTACTAACTTTGATATCTTTCCAACAAACAGCAGATTCACTACCCCCTCTGGACTTACAATAAGCTTCTTTTCAAATTTCCCTTAGTTTCAAACAATGTTTATTGTATATGGGGGCAGTGGACTGTTTAGGAAATAATTTAAAACCCTTCTTGAGGTCAAAGAATTTGTTTCAACATTCTCTGAATCCTGGCCACAAGTATGTGATACCTTGTTATTGTCACTGGATGAATCGTCCTGGACCTTTATGCGCCGTCTTTTCTTTTTCTGCTTATAACTCCGCTGATTTTCTTCTAACTCTGCTTTCTTGGCAGATCTAAGAAAGTGAAGACTCGCTATTTACTACAAAGTAGCAAACAGAGCTGTTCTTGAATTAATCCTTTTTGGCCAACGATATGTAACAGCAGAATCTTTTCTGTTTTCTAGCAATGGCACAGCCATTTTCTTCTGTTCTCTCGCTCGTTTCCCCCCTCCAAGCAGTGGCATGGATCTGTATCCTGCCCTTCCTCCACACAGTCCAGGGTCTCTTTGTGCCATCTTATCCTCTGAGCTGCCTTCTGAGGTGGCTTAGGCTAGGATGGAGGCAGAGACAGCCTCCAGGTCAGTCAATGAGCTTCAAGACTGAGCAGGGATTTGAACCCCAGTTCTAATATTACACACTGGCTCCACAAAGGTCCTTATGTGTGAACAGAAAGCAGATTGCTGGGGAGGAATACTAATTCTTCCCCTTATCTGCTAGCCCCCCTCCTGCAACAATAAGCTCTGGGAAGGTCAGGAAACCCAACTGAACAGTTCCAAGGCACAGAGGAAAGAAATGGGAGAATCACTCCATGTGCATCAGGAGTGAATTCTGGTCAAGTAGTAGGAGTCTGTCACTATTTTTCAGGAATTAAAGCAGCTGCTTGCATGACAGGTTCCTGCTCAAAGAGGCCTCAAGGACTCTCCGGACAAGTAGACCAGATTCATTCCCTTTTTTCTGTGGATTTATGTCCACGCTCCATATCCATTACATGTTTTCCCATCCTCTACAGCTTCCTGTACAAGCCCTCCACAAAGTAAGATTCTCACCTTTTTTTAATTTAAAAAAGGGAAATCCAACATTTCTACCAAAAATCTTATACCTTGTTCTAGGACGCTGGTCATCTTCTGATTCACTGATTTCTTCGCTGACTCCAGATTCGTTTGCTTCTGAATTGTCCGAATCCTCACTGCTCACTTTAACAACAACAAAGAAAGACGACTATCAAAATTGTTGCAGTCAGCAATTAAGTAGATGTTCAATATTTATCAATTTCTTCATACAAAACTAGTAAAAGGCAGCATAACACTAATGCCAAGAGAAAGGGGAGAACAGTGCCACTTGCTGGCCATACATGTACCTTTAACAATGAGCCTAGACAGACAATACCAATCAATAACTGACTGAAAACACAAATTAAAAGTTAATTATTCTAGACAAAGATATATTTTTTACATATGGGCAAGCAACACTCTAAAAATCTGGATGCAAACACCAGCACTGTTTAATCTACTTGTGTTCAGATAAAGCCCTCTAAAAGACTGAATACTTATGAAAACTAGTGTCTACCAAGCTGCTTAAACACACTAAAGAGTTTGCATACACCCAGTAGGAATGTCAAATGCTTTCTTTCTCTCTCCACAATTCCTGAAACACATCACATATTGATTCTGAGTTTGCCAAACAGCTAGTCAAGAAAGCCCCCAAATAATGTGTTCTTTGGACCAGGGCTCCCCAACCTTTTTGAGCCTGTGGGCACCTTTGAAATTCTGACACAGAGTGGTGAGTGCAACCAAAAAAAAAAGGCTGTCAAGGGAGATGGAGCCATAGATACACTCACACAGGATGTCCAAGCGCAGGGAAGACGAGGGGTGGTGCCACAGGTGGGGCAGCTGCCGCTGAAGCAGTGCTGTTTTTGTCTGCAAAGTCAATCAGGTTTCCAACGGCCAATCAAAGGCCATGCTGGGCAACAGTCACGCCTGGCACCGCTCACTTTCCGAAAACACTTGGCAGAACCAGGTGAGGTGCTAGTGGGCACCACACTGGGAACCCACTTTGGACCCTGGTCAATGCAGTCAAGCAAGCTTGAAGCCTGCAAGGAACTCAGGAGGGCAATCTGGAAATCTGATCCCATTCCTCAAGATTTCACCTTCTAGGATTCAATAACCTCTACTTGGCTTAAGCAGGATAATTCTATCCTGTGCCACCTAAAACTTTTATCTTCCTTTAAAAGGACACTTTCTACATACCATGCATTCCAGGCCATATTCAGGCCACTGGGAGGGGTTAATTTACATCATCATATTTTTCTGTAAACCTGAGAAGTCCCTTGACTAGCTAGAGACAGAGATGGGCATGAACTGGGAAAACGTAGGTTTGTCCTGGTTCGCAGTGTCTCACGAACTATGAATCTTCACGAACCTTCCCATTCACCAAACCAATTCATTTTGTGAGGTTCATGATGTGTTGAAACGCGCCCCCCCCCCATAGGCTAGAGATGCCAGCTGTCTCTCCTCTACCTGTCCTCCAAGTTTGGTGAAGTTTGGATTTAGGGGGGCCAAGTTACAGTCCCCAAAGCAGGTGCCCCCAAGGAAGTGCTAGTCACAATGCCACTTTCCCCTGGCCCTCTTTCGCTGTGTGAGCTTCCTCAGACTTTTTAAAATGTTCTAATGTGAGCACTATATCGCTAAACAGCTATATATGCACTTCAGTGCCACAGCGGTTTAGCGCTCACATTACAACGTTTTAAAAGTCCAAACAAGATCGTGAGGTGAAATAGGGCGGGGGGAAGCGACACCCCCTGTTGCTTTGATGATCGTGATCTGCGCCAACATGTCTGCCATGGATGCCATCAACATGCACCACCATGAACTGCCTGAACCTCCAAGAACCAAGTGAAGGGTCATCATGGTTCATTGAAGGCATGATCGCACGACCCTCAGCTCACAAAATTAGATTTGTGATGAGATCTGTGCCCATCCCTAGCTAGAGAGCCTTTGCTTGGCTTTATCCATCAGCCGCTACACTGTTAGATTCAGTGGTTAAAAAGAAAATTACAGGGAAAGCAGCAAGTGTTACTTAAGAGGAAAACAGCAAAAAAATCTGTCTCACCGCTAGAAACTCTGAATTAATATCTGAACAAGGATTTGGAAAAAGAGGAAAAATAATTACTGACGATTTTTTTTTTACTCTGATTCAACACACAATTGGCATAACTTTTGATGCTGGATCACCTGGTATCAGAGAGATAAAGAAGTAAGCAGTGGCAAGATCTCGGATTCAGTATTCTGCAATTCTTCCTGTGTTATAGCACTGTATGTAGTGATTAATTTCATTTGGTCACCAAGCACAGATAGATAACAATTTCACTGGAGCAAGCCCCATTCAGCGTCTACATCACCCACTGCAAATGGCAAAGTGAACCACTGAACAGTCTCTTGTCTGTCCACACACCAAACATAGTACCTTTTCTTCTATTTCTGCGTTTCACTTCTTTTGCCTCTTTAGATTTTCCCTTTTTCTCTTCCTCAGATTCTCCATCACTCATTGTCAATTTATGTCTCAGTAATCTGTGTCTGTATTTAGATTTCTTAGCCTCTTTTACATCTGAATCAGAGCTAGAGACATCTTCCTGTTCATTCTCTTCTGCTATAGAGGGGGAGAAAAAGACAGTACAAAGCCTCTCTCTTTGTCATCTGGAGAAATAGTGTATCATAGGGAGGTGCATCAATTTAACCTGACACTGTGCCAGTTGCACTATGTCTGTCTTACAAGGAAACCCAACTGTTACTAAATGATTGCATTTCACTTATTTTAAGCATGTTAATATTACTCTGGTTGTAAGAATCAATGCTGTGCTTTGCAGGAAGGCCCAGAATATTAAGCATTACTATGAAACTTCAGTGCCAATAAAATTATGTATCAGACCAGTGGCCCATTTAGTTCAGCATCCTGTTTCACACAGTGGCTAACCAGTTGCTCCAGAGGGCCAACAAACACAGCATGGAGACCAAGGCCCTCCCCTTATGCTGCCCCTTACCACTGGATTTCAGAAGTTTATGGCCTCTGTATACAGAGGTTCCCTTTGCTCACCATGGCTAGTAGCCTTTGGACCTCTCCTCCATGAATCCACCTAACCCTCCTTTAAAGCCATTTATGCTTGTGGTCATCACCACGTCCGCTGGTAATGAATTCCACAATTTAGTTGCTCACTGAATAAAGGAGACTGGTGGTAGTGAGCACGTACAATGTGTTCATCACTAGTTTGCCATTTGGGCTCAATACTTAAGAAGGTCACTGATTTTGTAGTAGATACACTGTTGATACAACTATAACTAAGTACATGTTTTGACATTACAGTGGATTCAGAAAACTGTGCTGCTATCCGGTGCTTACCATTGACACCCTGGTTTTCACTTGGCTTTCCTGTCTTCTTTTTCCCATCCTCAGACTCTTCATCAGAAGAAACATCTTCCTCAGAGGAAAGATTGGCTTTGATTTCTTCTAAAAGCATTTTCTTGGCAATTCTTTGAAGCAAGACAAAAAAAGGGATGTATTCCATTGGTTCAACAACAAAAATAGAATAAATGATGAATGTTGTCATATAGTTGGATAATGCAAGTCCTTCTAGCTTAAAGCTGAGCAAGACTAAACGGATGGAAACAACACACCTTGGTAACAGAAGTGTGCCTTGGTGCATCAGCCTGCTTGAGGAAGAATAACTTAAGTATTCGAGAACTCTGCTGCATCTCTGTTGCAGACGTGGGCCTGCGATCTGGCTGTGCCTCATTTGCTTCCCCGTAGTGTCACCCTCTGTCTCATCACCCTACCTGTGTATTTAGCAGAATACCAGAATCTCACTGCAGTCCTAGTGGTCTCGCTAACACAGAACTATGAGCAGATTTATTTCTAATGGGGGCAGAAACACCAGAGGCTATAGGCATGACTACAGGACAGACTGCCATGCCACATCTTGACTGCTATTGTTAGCAACCCCAAACCAGTTTTGAAGTTGCGGGGGGGGGGGGTTGAGGCACAGAGCTCTTTGGACTCACAGAACAAGTGTTGTGCCACTGTTATGGGCACACTGGCAAGTTGCAACAGATTCAAGGAACAAAATGCAGATTCAGATAGTATGCTGGATTCTACAGATGTGCAGGCAAATACTGTCTTGTATGAAGACTTAAAAAGAACAACAATTTGTACAGCACTGTGAAAACACCAATAACTGATTTATATTTTTGAGAGAAACTAGTCTATGAATATTTGGAAAGATTATGAAACTTGGTTTCTACATCCTATTGTATGATTGGACATACAATGGACCAACCTGTCATCGGATCTGTGCTGTTTCCAGGTGAGCCGAGCGCTCATTTACAATGAACTGTGGGCTGCAATGTTCTAACGCCTCTCCCCCCCTTCTCAAAAGAAGGACTTCATTGCCTGCTGGGGGTTGTATTGCTGGTTTTTTATTTATTTATTTATTTTAAATTCATTGCCACACAAGCCATTGGGATTCAGAAATGGTCTCTTAGCGGAATCTTCTTCTACAGAAGAGACACTTTAATCCTTGTGCTATGACAAGAAGTGGAGAAGCAACCGTTCCCTCTGTCCCTTAATAGGATGAACGTACATGCAGTGGTGAATGTGGGCAGCAAGGAGAGAGACTACACTTCCTGATCTCAGTTTATGGTAGAAAGCACACAGGCTGCCAATCACTAACTGTCACATATCTTTTGGCACAACAGAATGAAACCACCCAGCCCAGCCCCAGAAGTAACATTTTGGGACAGTTTTCTGGCCTGCCCATCCAATGCAGCATTCTGACGGAACATTCTGCATGCTATAATGAAGTATCCAAGTTAAATATATCTCATCGACATTCTCCAAGAAGTTATACTGCCAAGTAGCTATGTTTTCCAAGGAGGGTGCCAGGCATTTCTATAACAAAAGCTGAAGATAAGGAATTTGGAGGAACCTTACAGGCATCTCCCAAAATTTGCAAAAAATTACATTAGAATGTATTCTCCTGAAAGCTTTTTGAAAGTCTTCTATTCCAAAATGAACAAAAATGCTGCTAACAACCCATTAAAAGGCACGAATTATTTTATAATCAAGCAACTGAAAGAGGCCATTATTACAATATATGAAGGGTCATTGCTCATAATTTAACAAAGGGAATTTAGCATTTCTGTGCAATTTCAAATTGGTAGCCAAGGGATCCTGTTCCACACACTATCATCAGGGTTTGAGAATCAACCCCCACCCCACCCTGTCTCACAAAACTCTTGGTGTGGCACAGGGATGCCACCAGGCCAGAACAAGCCAAAAAAAGAAAGAAAAAGGCTAAGATTTGCATATGACACTGGGCTGCATCCCATTTGCAGAAGCAGACATGCAAAGCACAAGCCTGACAAATATACTACACTCTTATTTTCCTAGATGTAGCAAGGCAGTCAGAGTGGGGAATAAGGGCTAACATTCAAAAGATGCCTACCTAATGCTAAAATTTAGATTTTTGTGTATTTTTGAACCAAGTAGATATGTTTATCTACCCACAACATATATTTGCAGTGTGTGTGGGGGGGACTATTAGGTAGAAATCAGGGAGGAATTGTGAGGATAATTTTAGCTCACTGATTACTTCACACATATTCCGTTGTTGTTTTTTTTGTGATTCATTGCAAAAGTATTTGTCTCCCTGGAAAAAAAATTAACACGTATTCGATTTTTTCATTTCTCCCTGACTTGCATTTGAGCCTTTTGGTCTTATCTAGCTTTCAATAAAACATCTCCATTAGGCTTCATTAAAACAAAAACCTTTCGTGGAATTAAAAATGTTAAGGCAGGTCTGCACAATTTGTAACCCACCATGCTGAATGCAGGACACCAGCCAGCAAAGGGCCAGACAAGCCTAGTTTCTGCTGCCTCCCCAAGTAGACAGCAAATATGGGAAGGTTCATGAGCCCCTGGTGAGCCTGTCTATGGCTCCCTGCATCCAGCTTGGCAAGTCATACATTATGCAGACACACATTAAGGAGCATGAAGACATTTGTCATGAACTGCACCAACCATAAGAAAAATACAGATTTCATAAGACAAGTGATAAAAAGTACGTTCCCTACATAACTCACAATTTAGCCAGCTAGGTAAACAAATTTTCTTGAAGTTGTAAGCAAAATGTGCCATTAGTTGCTACTGGCTTGAAACTAACTCTGTGGGCTGAAACACAAATTGAAGGAGGTGCTAATAAAAATGTAATGACTGCATAGGAAACAACATCCCATTTACCTAACAATCTGTCCTATGTCAAACACTGAGAGACATTTAATTGTATCAAATGCTAAGCTTTTTGCAAAAAATGTGACATGATTAACCTAATTTCTGACCATATCAGCAGCTAGAACTAATAAAGCCTTGTATTTAGTTACATAAGAATTTCAACCTCATTAAGACCTATCAAGAAAAATGGGGATCAATTATAACCCAAATGTTATTTCAAAAATAAAATTCATTTTTCCTCTTGAAGGAAGACACACATTTGTGGAAATGCTATGAACTAGGGAAACAAAATACAACCAGACGGGTGAGCCTTGGAACTTTTATCACTTTGCCCTATTATTATTACTATATACAATGTTACAAATTTCTGTACTCTGCTTGTTTCTCTTTGTTGGCATATGGGCTGATTTGTACTGTTATATTTTCTTTTTAAAGTTATTGTTATGCCAATAAAGGTTATTGGAAACTGGAATTAGAACTAGAAAGCCTCAGTTCTATTCCGATTATGGCCAACAACACATTTTGGTGCAGATGACAAGAAATTACAGTGTGCTTTAAGGTTGCCTTAAAAACTACTCTAGACTACAGATGCTTGACCACAATATTTTTTTCCTAGGCAAGGAGGACATTTATGAAATACTTGTTTATAAAAATGTGAGAAATGAAGGGTTTCTGCTGCTTCATACTGAATAAAATGGGACTTATCTACCATTTCTCTTATAGAAGCCATGGTTCTAGAACTCTTTCTTATGAACTTTGCCAATTAAAACATTCATATTCATACTACCAAAAACAGCTTTCACCACCTTTCAGGTAACTGGCAGTACCATAATTAGGACTGCCTAGAAGAAGCATGTGGCAACTAGACACACTTCATTAATGGTTTCCATCAAATTAAAGCCTGCATCACGTTTAAACACATTTTAGCTTTAAACTAAGGGACCTCAGGAATATTTGACTGAAGATTAGATGAGTAAAATATTTTAAAAAATAAGAGGTTACCTATTATATCTCAGTGGAAAAAATAAGTTTTAATCTCTTAAATTAAATGCTTGGACGAGAAACATGTTTTACAAAAATTTATTGCATCCATGAAATACTTCGAAGGCATTGTGCGTTAATACACTGTATATTTTAATGAACAAAAATAACTCCAAACATATTAAACAGCACTAGTGAAAAAGATCAGACAAACCAATAAGAAACAAATACACACCACAATAAAGTACAGCACTGTCTGTTAGATTATGACCCACTAAATATTGCACTCTGGCAAAGATGATTTCAACATTTTAATAAGAAACATATTTAAATCAGATATTTTCAGAAAAGGAGAGTTATAGGTACTGTCCTTTAACATTGCTACAGATCTCTGGCATCATTCTTTGGCCTTATAGGAAAAGGTTTGTTGTTCTGTTTTTGTCTAAAAAGCAAGCAAAAAACTACATTGCGAGCCTAAGCACATGCACTTGAAAGTTTAGGACTGATACTTCATGATGCAGGTCATCGACTCCCACTTAGGGATAAATAATTGCAGGGATCCAAACAGCCTTGTGCTCAATGGAAGCACTTCCACCTGCACTAGGGGCAATGCCAATCTCCTCCTCCAAATTGCATGTACTCCCCCCACCCCCCACCAGAGCTGCAAGGAGCCTTAGGGGATACAGTTGGAAGAGTAGTTTGAAAAGCCCCTATGTGTATGCAGGTGCCCTACACACAGTCCCTTGCATTCCAGCCAGTGCGTATGATCACTGAACTGACTTAATTGCATATTCTTAATTCAGGTACAAAATGAAGTGCTTTAATACAGTGTAATTACAATTCAACCAATATTCTTCCGGTATACTGACAAAGACTATTTGTTGATGTACACCAACTCTACTTAAGAGAGGTAGATTAATTCTTTCCTGCATTAACAATATGCTCCCAACCCCTTTACAGCAGCCCCAGGAAATTACTCTTACTAAAGAAATGTACTGTTCAGGTTAAAATATGTGTTCAGGGTTCAACAGCCAAGTATTAAGAAATGAAGGGTAATACTCCACGCAAAACATCTAATGATTGATCTTCTAGCTGAACTTATCTACTAGCTGTGCTTTGAAAACTCTAATAAGAATTAAATAAGGAAGTCAAGTATGATGACTCTAAAAAATTACAATACATTTTTTCAACAGTTCTCTTATCATTCTGTGCTGTCAATCGCTAAACAATGATCACTTTAAAATAAACTAATAAACATTTGTTTAAATGTTCTATGTGAATCGCAAGAAACAGCTAGATTAGCAGCATTTTTCTGTACCAAGGTCCATATAGGAGAGCAAATATTAACATTTATTTCAGATACAAACAAAAAATGTGTTTGTTCTTATGCGGACAAAAACAGTCAAGTTGATAAAAAAAAGCCCAGTTCTTAACCACGTAAAGCTGATAACCAGACATTAAGCGTGGGTGCCCTGAAAGCAAGTACTCTGTTAGTCTTATAAACTGCCAACTAAAAATCCAGTTTCTTTTATGTTTTCCAGTTGACTGTTTGGCAATTATGTAAATTGTCAGATTTACTTATTAGGAGATTTGTAAGGCCTGCAAAACTAGATTTTTTTACTACAGTAGTATTGTAATATTAAACTTTAAATACCATATATGTTTATTCACATGTTAAATAAAACATGTGACTTCAGTCCCATTAATGCAAATAAAAATACAAATTGCTGTAACAGCCACAAACTTAGTTATGAGATCAATGCAATTAGATCACTGACTTTTAAATGAGAAAGCCAATCAACCATCTGGGCTACTACAAAGAGGATTTTATCAAATGCTTCACTCATTGCTGGCTCCACTTTCTAATCAGGTTTTCAGTATAATGAAATTAAAATACTAACGGAAAGCTATCCAAGATCCAAAATGAAGCTTGTCACAATACTGAAAAGATGCTATTCTGCTTCTCCTATATGTGAAGGCAGCCTTATGAATCCAATCGCCTTTTAAAAAATATTACTGAATATACAATTTACACAAAACCCACATTTTACATGGAAACATAAAACAGACAGTGCTGTAATGCATTTATAACACACCCTATGCAAGGTGTGTAAGTTAACACTTAAATGTACTTTCTTATTTTCTTTTCTTTCTGGGTTTTGGGGTTTGTTTTCTGGCTTCTCGTTCAAACTTGTGGGAAGCCCGTGAGCGAGTCTTTACAAGGCAGGCACTTCTGGTTTTTACAACCTGCTTGGTGTTCCGTTGGTTTCGTTTGCGCCCACGCCTAGGGTGTGTTATAATCTTTTTAAAGTCCTTATGGATGGAATCATACCTATTCTCAGGATCATCGTCATCATCTTCCTCCTCTTCCATTGGCGCAGTCCCTGATTTATTCTCTCCTTCATCTCCTTGAAGGAAAAAAGGGTAAACTTTGATGTACACACATCAAATCCTACATACAAAATCACCAGTCTCTTCAAAAATTCAGCATTAAAATTTCTTTGTAGGACTATAATTAGCAAGGCCTTATTTGATAAGACTAGTTATGCAAACTGAAACCTAAAGTTATAAAGTCAGCAAATCCCATTTACATAATGACCATTAAGATAGAAACAATCAGTGCAGCTTAAACAGAAGTCCCGATCAAGTATGGTAACTGTAACAATATGCAATAACTTCTTATATTCAAGAATGGCTCAGACGCTCAATTCAGCTGAGGCCTGTCATGCCATAGTGGAGGCACCAGATGCATGCAACTATACAAACCACTGTGTGAACGAGACACTCCTGTGTAATAGGACACATGGGTTTGGTTGGCACAATATTCCCTCCTCCTTTAAGAGGAAGCAGGATCACACAAATAGTGGCTCCACGCATACGGTTCATGGTGTCTCGTACACAAGGTGGGAAACAGAACACGCATATAACTGCATCCTGGAATGACAAGCAGGTAAGCATATGAAATAGGTTTATGAGCCTTTCAGTTCTCTGGGGCACATAGTTAAATATTTCAGCAGTCCTCCACTTGGGACCTACAATCAATGTTAAATACCTTCATTTTAGGCACCGAATAGTAGCAGCAATGTTCTTGCTGTCAATGCACCATTCGCATGAGGTCAGGGTTATCAGGTCAGCTCTTCAGTCAATAAAAAGAAGGGCTATGAATCCAGCCTTCCAGCAGGAGCCAAATAGCCCTCTGGTTGAAAAGCTTGGGTAGTGCAGAAGGAGTCTACTACCCTGACCTTTGGTCCCTCTAGTCCTCCATGGGGAGAAACCAATTTCCCCTCTACTCCAGCATGAAAACAAGAAATTGCACCTTCAGTGAAGAAAAAAACAAACCTCTTTAAAACACACACACACACACACACACATATATTCAAAAATACACTGCAGTGAGGCAGAGGAAGGCGATTAGCTTTTCTGGTGGTAAACTTACACACATTCAAGAAAACCTCATTAATCTCTTGGGAAAACTCAGCTTGAGGCCCCCCAGATCGTGATGGTGCATGCTTCCTATGCTGATTAAACCCCTGGGTTTGGAAAGGGGAATGCAACATCCCTGTGCCATCTCTAGAAGGCTGAAAACAAACCTGGCGTGGCCAGAATGGGGCCACCAAAGTAATATCTGATCCCTCCCGTCTGGCCACCTCTAGAGCCCTAATCAGCAAAGGGATTGGGGGGAACGCATAAAACAGTTCTCCCACCCATGATCTCTGAAAAGCATCCCCCAGGGACCCCATGCTTTTGCCAGATCAGGCCTTTGTATTGCACGGAGTTGCAAACAAATTTATACCGGGGACACCCCACTGGGCAAAAATAGGCTCCCAGGTATATAGGTTTTAGGGACCATTCATAAGATTCTCTGCTTTGCTAATTAAGCCTTTTGGCCTCTACATTCAGTTTCCCTGGGATGCGTACAGCCTGGATGAACACACTGTCCAATTTGATCTGCCAAATGAAGGTGGCCTCTCGGCAGAGATCTCAGGCCCCTGTGCCACCTTATTTGTTGATATAAAACATAGTGGTCATATTTCCTGTTTGGATTAAAATAGATCAATTCCGCAAGATATCCAAGATATTGATAAGGGAATTAAGCACTGCTTGCAACTCTAGCAGATTAATATGACATGCTTTCTCTGCTTGTGACCAGGTATCCCGTACAGATGCACCTTCACAATGAGCACCCCACCCCAGCTGTGAGGCGTCTGTGTAAATATCATTTCATGATGAGGCATCCTAAATGACCTTCCCTGTGAGAGACAGTGCAGGGATCTCCACTATAAGAGCGTTCAAATCACCCGCCTAGGGATAGAGAAACTCTTCCATAAAAGATGTGACTCAGCCCTAAGAGCCAAAGCTGTAAAGACCTCATGTATAACCTGGCAAGTAGCAACACCACTGTTTTGGATGCCATGTGCCCCAGTAGATGAAGAATATTCCTAACCAACTGAAACCAATTAGCCATGAATTGTCGTACTTGAGTAGAAATGGTGCTAATCTTATCTGGGGGTAAGAACCCTTTCCACTGCACAAAGTCCAACACAGAACTGATAAAGTGGATTATTTGTGTTGGTACTAACCTGGATTTTTCTCAGTCAATGAACAACCCAAGCTTTTGGCAAAGCTCCAGGACTAAGATACAGTGCTGTACTGTTTGCTAGTGTCTGCAACCACCAGCCAGTCGTCCATGTATGGGAAGTGCACCACTACTGGGGCCATGCATTTGACAAAAACCCTGGTGCGGTTGCTAAACCAAAGGGCAGGACAGTATATTGGAAGACATGGTCCCCATAGGAAAAATGAAGGAACTTGCAGAATTCCTAGTGAATCGAAACATGAAAATATGCATCTTTAAGATCGATGACAACAAATCAAAAAATTGAACAGTTGTAAAATTGAACAGTAGCCATACAAAATTTTGAAACTTGGAGGAAGGTGTTTAAATTCCTCAAATCTAAAATAGGCCTTACACCCCCATCCTTCTTCTCCACTACAAACATCCTTGAGAAAACCCCCACTGGTGAATGGTTCACATTCACTTCCTCAATGGTTCCTTTTCCAATGAGTGTATTCAACGCCTGTGACAAACTCTCTGATGGTTTGCATACTCCCCCAACAGGGGGGTCAAGGGGGAACTGTTTTGAACTCTAATTTGTACCCTGACCGTACCATGGCCAGGATCCATTTGTCAGAGATAACAGCTTTCCAGGCCTCATTTGGCTAACCTAACCCCAAATATGTTGGCTCTAGTCAGAAGGCCTTCCGTGATTGGGATGACTCCTTAGTCGGGGTCAGCTGGCCCACAGAATGAGGGCCATTCAAACTCTTACTCCTCTGGTAGCCCTGTTGAGGAGCAAAGGGTTTAGATTGAGGATACTGAATTGCTGCAGTATTGGCATATCTATAGTCCCTTTGATAAGGGGGGCAAGGTTGGCATACATAAGGTCTTTGCTTATACTGAGAAGTGCCCACTTGAGGCCCTCTCAGCAACTTTGCTGTTTGTTCTTCTTTATCAGTGTCAAAGTCTCATCAATTTTGGAAGAGAACCAGATAGCTTCTTCAAAAGGTATGTCCTCCACCTTCTGCCTTGTCTCATTGGGAAGAATTTCAGACCTCAACCATGCATGTTGCATGAGGGCAATTGCACCTGCCATGGCACAGGCTGCTGCGTCCACAGAGTGTCTGCCAGCATTTATCTGCTGGTTAGGAAGTCTTACGGCTTCAATCTGTAAAACCTTGGCTAGAGATCATTTGTCTTTTGGTAGCAATTCTATGAAGGGTAGCATCCGCTCCTACAAGAACAGTTGGTAACCAGCCATGATAACTTCATAATTAGCAATCTTGAATCCCAGTGAAGAAGAGGAGTAAAACGTCCCACTCCATCTAGCTTGCGCCCCTCTCTATCTGTGGGTGCTGTATGATAAGTCTACCAACCCTTTGGCTGCATCTCCTGCATCATGAGTGACAATGGTGGAGGGTGTGTAATAAAATAGTTAAATAGGTCCTTCTTAACACTATAGAGATGCTCAACCCTCCTTGCTGTGGTTGAATTGAGGCAGGACTCTCCCAGACCTCCGGTGTTATGTCCTCCAGACCCTCCAGTATGGGGAATGCCACCATGCCAAGGGGAATCAGAATACAGCTGGCTCAGGATCTTATCCCTTAGCTTGTGTTCCAATGTAGTTATCTCAATCTACAAAGCCTGCGCCATGTGCGTCATCTGCTCGCTATACATCTCCAAGTCCTCTGTGGGTGATGGATCCACTAGCTGTTCATTCAATTGCCACATCCCTTTCCCTCTGACAGTATAATCACTGACCTCGAGCCAGACATCCTGGAATGTGACGTTAAATGGGCCTTAGAAAGCATTATTAACAACAAAGCTAGTGGAGGTGATGGTATTCCAGCTGAGCTATTCAAAGTCTTAAAAGATGATGCTGTTAAAGTGCTGCACTCAATTTACCAGCAAATTTGGAAAACGCAACAGTGGCCACAGGATTGGAAAAGGTCAGTATACATTCCAATCCCAAAGAAGGGCAATGCCAAGGAATGTTCAAACTATCGCACAATTGCACTCATATCACACGCTAGCAAGGTCATGCTCAAGATCCTACAAGCTAGGCTTCAACAGTACGTGGATAGAGTACTGCCAGAAGTACAAGCTGGGTTTCGAAGTGGTAGAGGAACTAGAGATCAAATTGCCAACATTCGCTGGATTATGAAGAAAGCAAGAGAGTACCAGAAAAATATCTACTTCTGCTTCATTAGCTATGCTAAAGCCTTTGACTGTGTGGATCACAACAAACTATGGCAGGTCCTTAAAGAGATAGGAGTACCAGATCACCTCACATGTCTCTTGTATAAGGGTCAAGAAGCAACAGTTAGAACCGGATATGGAACAACTGATTGGTTTAGCACAGGAAAAGGAGTACGACAAGGATGTATATTGTCACCTTGCTTATTTAATATATATGCAGAGTACATCATGAGAAATGCTGGCCTGGATGAATCACAAGCGGGAATTAAGATTGCTGGGGAAAAGATCAACAACCTCAGATATGCAGACGATACCACTCTAATGGCAGAAAGTGAAGAGGACCTAAAGAGCCTCTTGCTCAGGGTAAAAGAGGAGAGCGCAAAAGTGGGCTTGAAGCTCAACATCAAAAAAACTAAGATCATGGCATCCGGCCCCATCACTCCTTGGCAAATAGAAGGGGAAGTCGTGGAAGTAGTGACAGACTTCACGTTCCTGGGATCCCAGATCACCGCAGACTGTGACTGCAGCCATGAAATTAAAAGACGCCTGCTCCTTGGGAGGAAAGCGATGGCGAACCTAAACAGCATGATAAAAAGTAGAGACATCACCCTGCCAACAAAAGTCCGCATGGTCAAAGCAATGGTATTCCCA